AGCAGGTGCTCTGCTTCACGATCAGCAGCGCCGTATCTCTCGTTGGGCGGAACACTTAGTTCTTCTGCTTCCGGATGTCTTCCTTCTCGGGTGTTGCAGGACGGGCCATGGACGGTAAGTTTAGAGGCTTCATCGGAGGCTGAGATCCGAAATGCGACAGCAACCCCCCAACAGTTTTCGTGCTACTGGCCCAGATTCCCTCCCATCTGCACTATTTATGGATGGAGTTGAGGTCCTCTGTAAAGCACTGACCTCTGTCCGACTGATAAGGGAAACAGGCAGCAGAAGGCATGGTCTAGTGGAAAATCTTTGTGACGATTGTGGACAGTCCATCCACAGCTTGTCAAAATGCCTGGAGCGTTGAGTTGAAAAGTACCTTTATCGACCGGCCAGTGATCGCCCTGCTAACTAGGCTGTCCCTTTGGATCCGCCCTCTCGCTCAGAAGTCGAACGCGAGATTGGACTGCTGCACTTGAATATAGCCGCGGGACCAACTGATCTTCATCTAGCTATCTTCAAATACTGGGACCCTGTTTTTGTGGATGAGTTACACAAGTTACTAATGAAACTGGGTGCATGAAACTGTCCCATTTGACTGGAGCCGCTCCATCATAGCCCCAATTTTCAAGGGCATTTCACGATCCGAATGCGGCAGCCATAGAAAAATCAGTTTGATCCCCATCACCTCCAAGCTGCTTGCTTCTGTCATTCTTCACAAACTGACTGGCACTCGTGAAAGCCAGTTACGTAAGGAACAAATCGGGTTTTGTTAAGGTCGGAACTGCATCGACCACATCTACACTTTGCGTCAATTGTTGGATCACCATCACATAAACTGGCGGCCCACCGTAGTCGTGTTCCTCGGCATCAAAAGTGCCTTTGATTCGGTTTGCGGGTGTGCTCTTTGCCTCTGTCTACATAGGAAAGGTGTGCCCGAGAAATATGTAAATATTATCTGAGCGTTTTACGCGCGTAGTTTGGGCAATTTGAGGGCTTACGGCAAGCTGTCGTCGCTCTTCAACATCTCCAGCGGTGTGGTGCCAAGCATACTCACTGTCTCCTTTCCTCTTCAACTTCGCCATTGACGAAGTCCTACAAACTGAGTTCACAAGACACGACTTAAAAGATGAACTACTTCTTGATTGGGAGTATGCAGACGACATTGCCGTAATCTGTGACAGCTCACAAACGTGCCAATCTCCACTGGACAGAACAGCACTGGTTGTCAGTCTTTCCAGGCTATGCTATTAACTCTCGAATTGCAACAGTTTCCTCCAAAATTGACATAGACCGCCACCTGCGCTGACCATTGTGGGGAGCAGCTAGAAGTCGTACGAAAATTCAACTACCTAAACACTCGTCTCAACGCTTGTGAAATGGCAGATGAGGTTAACAACCGCGTAGCAAACACTCGAGGTGCTTTGTTAACCTTCGCCACCTATGGCGCCGAGGCGACATAACCCTTTTCCTGAAGGATACAGTGTACAATGCAGCCTTACGTTCGACCCTACCGTATGATTCTAAAAATTGTCCCATTAGATCGGCACACAAAGAGGCTAGTTCCGTTCGACCACCGGTGTCTTCACAGTTTCGCTCGTGTCAGTTAGGAACACCGTGGTCTGAGCTGCTCAAAGTAGCCCGTTTTGCATGGAAAATAACTACCGTTTGCTTGTGTATACATCGTACAAATGGGTATCTTGTCTGGTCTTAAAGGTCAATAGATCTACCAAGACCAGTGTCCTCAGGAATGTTGTATCCTTTCTATTAAAGTCACCAGCAATAATACTGATAGAACAATCTGATTTAGGCAGTAGCACCAAAGTAATTTGGTCTTCATAAAGCTTCGACTCGGACGCAGATGTGTCAAGAGCAATGCAGGCTTTTCCAGCAGTGACTGTTTGAAGGCCACTTAAGGACTTCGGTTTGCATTCATTTGAACGGTAGCTTATAGAAGTCGTGGAATATGCGAGTAATACGGTTGCTGAATAGCGTCACACCGCGAAAATGATGCATTACAGGGTGGTCAAACCTGATGGGAAAATGACCATGGAGTTGAGAAACCCCTATTTTCCACATCCGTGTGCAACCATCATTTTGTAACAGGATGATACCTGAATTTATGACCATATGCGATGAAGCACGGAGTTAAGACAGTAACGCGTAACGTTTGCAAATGGTTGAGGAAGTACGACACGATGGACCTTGAGACATCCTTAAAAAATTGTATCAAAGATATACATAAAATCCGCAGTTGATAGTGCAAAATAATGTTCTAGCGAGAACGGAAGCAGCGGAAATTAAAGGCACCGTATGCAAAAAACATGGCCCACATAAGAACGTTCATGTAATTTCAACAAATGGATCGAGGATTCGCTATCAGACACCAACTGACGGGCGGCAGTGTCACTCACACAGCGATAGCACCAGACGTGAACGCCGATTCGCAAGCACCGGCAGATGAAAACGAACAAATGTTTGCGTTCTGTTAGGGAAGTCCGTCATTGATGAGTGACCTTACAAACTGTCACCAGTGGTGTGTTTTTGGTTCACAAAGTAACCGAACATGGAAAATAGCACGAAGATGGTGGATCGAATAACAGAGCAGATAGGTTTAATTGAAGCAACGAGAGCTGTGCGTTGTAACAGCATTTAGGCCTCAGATCCGGAGGCGCACAAACAAGGATGAAGGATCTAACAAGAATAGATCAGGATAATCCTGACAACCGACAACGACGCGTTGACCTGGTATCTGGAGTGGTCAGGGATAAGGGCATGTGGATTGAGCTTATCATTTAAGGCGTACTAAGCGAGCCCGGTAGGTAGATATTGCAATCTGTCGACGGGAAGGGATGGAAACCAAAGATTAATTTTACATTTGCAGTAGCGCTTTAGGTGACATAGGTAACGAAGAACCGATTTCGAAGATTGCCGCAGGGCGCAAAGGACGACCTAAGTGTTGGCAGAATTGATTGGACGACTTCCGTGAGAGTAAAAGTAACTGATGGAATTAAAAAATCAGTGGCGAGATTGGGTGAAGTGGATGGCAAGCTGAAAGACTTTCCCGTGGTGACGCTGGGTGGTTCGGGTTTATCCCGTACCAGCAAAGAGTTCAGTGACAGTGTTCCAAGAATGGTGGGTTTTTGCCAAGCATGCGTCCTCTCTATAAAAAACCCACAAATTTCTGCTTAACGTCGCTACGACGTGGCGGTTGTGACTTGCCACAAAGTAAAGTGATAAGCATATCCAATCAACGGACATGTAGCATCCTTTCTCGCATTGGTGACGCGATCAAAAAGGCAAGAATGCAGCTGCCACTGGCCTAATTTTCGTTCGTTAACTTACCGTTTAATAGGAATCCCAGATGAGGTAGGACCGAGCACGTTTCCGTCCTGGACGGGACTGTATATATCAACTATTCACTTCGCGACGGGAGCTGGAACAACGTCATACTGGCGACAGCTATGTTCCTCGATTACAGAGGCGCGTTCGATTCAGCCAGTCGCCCCATCCGCTTCGACATACTTGTTCGAAATGATGTTCCTCTCAACTGCCCTGTATTCGAACATCAAAGGCCGCCTCAAAGTCTGTGGTTAATTGTCTGACGCCTTTTCGACGACAAGTGGCGCACGCCAAATTTGCCTCATTTCCCCATTTTTGTTCAGCTTTGTCTCGCATTCCATCATGTGGTATGTTTCCTTGTGAGGTGTCACCATGTCAACATTTAAATGCCCCCCGGTGGAAAATTGATGGACCTGAATTATGCGGATGACATCGTGTTACCGTTTGACATTCGCGGAACTGCTCAGTCAACTTTGAATAATCTCTAGAGTGGTCCCATCGTTTGGCATACGCTTTTCACCATCAAAGTGCGAAATATTGTTTAACGAACACCAGTCAGTTGATGGCCCTTTGGCGCTTTTCGGCATGCAACTAGGTCTTCACCAATTCATCCATCTCGGCGGCTGCGTTAACAGCGGTAGGTGTATAGTTCACATGTGGCGAAAGCTAAGATCGCCTTCTTAAGCCCAACATCTGTGGTGTCAGGAGTAGGCTTTCCTTGGTCTGAAAGCTGTGTGTGCAATGCCCCGGTGTAAGTTGACCTTTATGAAAGGGAGGCTTGGACGATTCGTTCTGAGGGTCCGAAACACCTTATCTTCAACCAACGTTGCCTGCGAAGCATTGCTGGTGTCGGATAGCAACAGTTTGTCCTCAACAGCGATGTGCGTAGACGAGTACAAGCGGAGATAGTAAGATTAACTCTTTAAAACAGCAAATAATGTTGGATAGGTCACCTTGGTTTGGGTTCGTGCTAGTTATACCCGGTCACCATTTACGGTATAGAGGATTGTTTTTCTTACGGACTGTTGAATAAAGTAGGGCTCAAAGTGGACAGTTTTTGACTTGGGAGAGGGAAATAAAGTCACTTATGACCATAACGGGTGCAGTTGTCCCGTTTCGCCTGCTAGGTTGAAGTCCACTTAGCCCGAGACGTTACAAGACATTACTTGCAATCAACGCCAATGGCGCTTTTGCTGTCGTCTCGTAGTCTGAAAGCCTGTTTCACCTGTGTCTGACGTCGAGTAATCTGCGATGTGGTGGCTGATTATGCACGGGCTAATGAAAACCACAAGGAAGCTGTTGCGCCGATGCCGCTCTATCCTTGCAGGGTAGCCAACTGTTTGTGACAGGATGTTGTTGTCAACGTGGCGGTGTCTTAGTGCTGACTAGGACGTTTAGATTTTTCACTAGGTCCCCGCTCTTCTCCTCTTATTGGTCCTTATTCCTTGGATCATTGTGGTTATACGACAGCGAAGCGTTGGCGTAAATGGCTGATGTACTGCTGCTGTTGATGATGATGGATACTTCAAAATTTTACCGTTGATGCGAATGATTTAAGGTACTGGTCATTGCTTACTTCCAATATTTTGCGATTTTCGTTAGAAGTCGCTTTGAGTCTCGAGACGAATTATTTTGCTTCAATTAATTTTATCTCTCCATAGATTAGACGAAGACTTCTTCATCCTGGAGTACACACGGAGCAAATACTAGTTGCGTATGGCTATCTGGTACGTGCGTTGCGGTTGATTGACAAATCATCCCTTGTTCAAGACGTCGTTTGTCGCCCGGTCTCGAAGTGTCTACGACAGCGGGATGACGCTGTCCATTGTATTATGGACAAGCTGTTATATACCCCTGAACAAGAAATCGATGGCGAGGCTCACGCGAATCCTGAGGATCCATCCGCGACTTCAACTGAACTCTACTCTGAGCTGTTGTCGCGCAAGCCCCTCGAAGTTGCATCAGTTGATGGAACCGAGGATAGTGACGCTGAGTTTGTCTTTGAAGGTTTGTTTTCGGTCATATCAATTCTGTCCATTACGCGTCGTTTGCCAATCTTTATTCAAACCTACGTAACCATACTTTAAAGCTTTTCAAAGATGGATTGGCCTGCACGGTAACTACCATATTTGTCTCCACCACCTGCGTAGTAATTGTTTCAGAGGGATGCTAACACAGAATCACAGAGATAAACATCTTCAGCTTACTGTTTGGGGGTTCTAAGCAGTCACTATCGTTACTTTTCGACTTATCTCACCATTCACACTGTCTCAACTCAATTGCCTTAACTCAGTCGTGCTCGTATCGGCATCGCGGATATGATAATAAATCAGTAAATCAATATATTATTCTTGACAATGCGGCACGCCTATAGAAGCATGATCATAATAAGAGGGCAACGAGTGATGTGGAACTGTATAAAAATTCATGCTTGCCATAACAGCGAATCTATATATGTAAGCGGTACAATTGACTTGATGGGGACAATGCGACGATTGGCGCATTGGTGTCGGAGAAGAATGCGGCGTTTGCTGCACATTTGGTAGACCCCAGTAACTTGGGGAAGAAGAATCAGTTTCGCAGACTTCGACGGCGACTGTCTCGAGAACTCTGTCGCATAAAAAATGCGTGGTGGACGGTTAAGGCAAAGCAGATGGAATGCTACGCTGTGCGTCGCCAACACAAGGAATTCTTTGACTCCTTGGAGGCGATGTATGGACCGAGGTTGGAGCCGCTGAGGACGTTCAAACGCTGCCTGCACACAGACTGTTTATATAATGCAGATTTGACGAAATTGCTTTGATCGTCTCTTGCACAACCGTTCAGAGATTGACTTCCCTGCATTCAACGGCATGAAACAGCACCAGGTCAAGATTAGTCTGGCAGACACGCCGACACTGGATGAGACGCAGAGAGCACTTACTCAGCTGCAATACGTTAAGTGTTCCGGTGCCGACGGGATCCCGCCTGAAGTATTGAAACACGGCAGACCTGCGTTGGTGACTGCGCTGCACCACTTGGTGCAACGCGTGTGGATTGAGGAGCAGGAGGTGCCTCCTGAGCTGAAGGATGCTCCTGGATAACCATTGTACAAGGGCAAAGCGAGCGAGCAATGTGCCACGAACTATCGTGGTATCAACTTGCTTAGTTGTGTGGGCAAGGTGGTTGCCCGAATCCTACTCAGCCGCCTCGTCAGTCAGGTTGTGGAACCGAAGGTGGCGGAAAAGCAACGTGGATACCTATCGGGTCACAGCACTGTAGATCTGGTGTTTGCGGCTCGTCAGTTGCAGGAGGAGTGCAGCGAACGACACCAGCCGTCGTACTCGCTGTTAGTTGATTTCACCAAAGCATTTGATACGGTGAACCGCGTGGCATTGTGGCTGGTGTTGGGTAAGTTTGGTATTCCGAGTAAATTTGCAATCTTGTTTGAATGTCTGCACGGTGGTATGCGGGCGAGGGTGCAGCTGTATGGCGCGACCTCGGATGACTTTGCGGTTGCCTCTGGTGTGAAGCAAGGCTGTGTCTTAGCTCCTGCCCTGTTTAATATTTATCTTCGTACTATCCTGTGCTTTTGATGCGGCTTGTGCTAGCGGTGTTCGTGTGGAGCACCGTATTGATGATGGGTTGCTGAACATCCGTCGTTTCAGTGCGAGAACCCTAGTCTGCCTGACAGCTATCGGTAGATTGCTATTTGCTGACGACTGTGCGTTGTGTACACACAGCGCGGATGAGTTGCAGCACATGACTGGTGCTCTCGCTTCGACAGCGGCCAAATTCGGGCTAACCATCAACACAAGCAAAACTGTCTGTCTACCGCTTTTGCTACTTTGGGCGTGTGGTGCCGACTGACCGGCAGATACACAGTGAGCCGGGTATCGAAGGCAGCGGCGGCATTCGGGAAGCTAGAGTACCGAGTGTAAAAGAACTATCAGCACGAAGTTGATGGTGTACAAATCCATGGTGCTCTCCGTTCTTCTATATGGCAGCAGAACATGGACGATGTACCGGAGAAATGTGCTATACCGAAAGGTTTCATGAACAGTGTCTGTGACGGGTTCTGCGCATCGGATGCTGCGGCAGAGTTGCGGAAGCGGAGGTGTTGCGCCGAAGTGGAATGTATGCAGTGGACTGCAGGCTATTGCTGAGACACTTGAGGTGGCTCGGTCATGTGTGGCTTATGGATTCCATGCGGATACCGAAGTAGCTTTTATATGGTCAGCTGAGTATTGGGAACGGCATGTGGGGAAATCGGTATTTAGCTAGCAGGACATGATCAAGGTGAGTCTACCACGTTCTAATGTTGATTTCAAGTTTTGGGAATCGAAAGCGGTTGAGCGGCGTGCATGGCGCGATCTGATTACGAAGGCCGTTTCCGAGATGCAAGAGAAAGCTGTTTTGCTTGCAGAGGAAAAGCGACAGTCACCTATGGGGTGTACTCCAACGACGTCGAGCCTATGGTGCTGTAGCACATGCAGTCGTAAGGGCCTGAATCATGCAGTTCTAGTGAACTACGAGCGAGACCACTCGGGACCAGCGTCGAAACGACGACGGTACTGCTGAGAGCGTAGGCGGGACCGGCGCAGCGTTTGTAGGTACGCTACATTCGAATAAAATACCGCGTGCTTCCGTGCTGAGTCACTTTATTTCAGTTTCCTATCTTTTTAGTACTTATTTTCTTAGTTCCTTTGAGTGCCTGCCTAAATAAACTAAAAAATTACCAATGTCGCTTGAACGAATTGTGCTTTACTTAGTTTTTCCTCCATTTTGCATATGTTTCTTGATCTGTTTATCTGCCTTCTTCAGTTTATCACAACTATGTTGGTAATCCATTTAAATCATGTGCTAATTTAGCAGCATATCCGTATGGTGTTTTAGACCTATCTTATTGATTATCACATTTCATGTGATTGGCTGTTGTTTGACATCCCCGATGTGGTTGCGCTTGATGTGTATGTTGACAAGGTACCTTTCTGTCTGTTACCCACCACCTCTTCTATACTGGCTCTAGGAGCCAGTTGGTCGTTGTTGGTGGGGATTGGGTACACGGTCCTCGTGGCCGTACTAGGCTCGGAGAGGGGTTCAATCCACATGATTTGTGTGTGGAGCGGATAACGGTCCAGCTACCGCCTAGTGTGCGTTTGATTCTCCAACTACAGCGTGCTTGTGTTTGCCTGTGAAGGAGTGTGGGCCGGCTCCGTTGATGAAACGCGGCTCCCATCTCAATGTCTCGCGGTCTTATTCCTTCGGGTTTACATTGGATATGGGGTTTGTGGATGGTGCAGTGCATACCACCCATGGTCCCTCCGTAGGCGCAGTCGTCCTATGGAGGCCACAGTGACAGATCAATCCGGAACCGGATGCCGCCAACCTTGTGTGTAGCTGTGTTGCTTGCGTTTCTATATGTGCCGCTGCATTTTTGCCTTTTTGATCGCGTCACCAATGCGAGAAAGGATGCCTTATGTCCGTTGACTGGATATGCGTATCCGGATAAGCAAGGGGCCGTGACTTTAGTTTGTGGCAAGTCACAACCGCCACGTCGTAGTGTTGTTAAGCAGAAATTTGTGGTTTTTTATAGAGAAGACGCGTGCTTGGCGAAAACCCATCACGTCTTGGAACACTGCCGCTGAACTGTTTGCTGGTACGGGGTAAACCCGAACCACCCAGCGTCACGGGAAAGTCTTTCAGCTTGCCATCCACTTCACCCAATCTCGCCACTGATTTTTTAATTCCATCAGTTACTTTTACTCTCACGGAAGTCGTCCAATCAATTCTGCCAACACTTAGGTCGTCCTTTGCGCCTTGCGGCAATCTTCGAAATCGGTTCTTCGTTACCTACGTCACCTAAAGCGCTACTGCAAATGTAAAATTAATCTTTGGTTTCCATACCTTCCCGTCGACAGATTGCAATATCTACCTACCGGGCTCGCTTATTACGCCTTAAATGATAAGCTCAATCTAGAAATCTACATGCCCTTATCCCTGACCACTCCAGATACCAGGTCAACGCGTCGTTGTCGATTGTCAGGATTATCCTGATCTATTCTTGTTAGATCCTTCATCCTTGTTTGTGCGCCTCCGGATCTGAGGCCTAAATGCTGTTACAACGCACAGCTCTCGTTGCTTCAATTAAACCTATCTGCTCTGTTATTCGATCCACCATCTTCGTGCTGTTTTCCATGTTCGGTTACTTTTGTGAACCAAAAACACACCACTGGTGACAGTTTGTAAGGTCACTCATCAATGACGGACTTCCCTAACAGAACGCAAACATTTGTTCGTTTTCATCTGCCGGTGCTTGCGAATCGGCGTTCACGTCTGGTGCTATCGCCGTGTGAGTGACACTGCCGCCCGTCAGTTGGTGTCTGATAGCGAATCCTCGATCCATTTGTTGAAATTACATGATCTATCTTAAGTAAGCCATGTTTTTTGCATACGGTGCCTTTAATTTCCGCTGCTGCCGTTCTCGCTAGAACATTATTTTGCACTATCAACTGCGGATTTTATGTATATCTTTGATACAATTTTTTAAGGATGTCTCAAGGTCCATCGTGTCGTACTTCCTCAACCATTTGAAAACGTTACGCGTTACTGTCTTAAATCCGTGCTTCATCGAATATGGTCATAAATTCAGGTATCATCCTGTTACAAAATGATGGTTGCACACGGATGTGGGAAATGGGGTTTCTCAACTCCATGGTCATTTTCCCATCAGGTCTGACTACCCTGTAAAGCCTCATTTTCGTGGTGTGACGCAATTCGGCAACCGTATTATTCGCATATTCCACGACTTCTATAAGCTGCCATTCAAATGAATGCAAACCGAAGTCCTTAAGTGGCCTTCAAACAGTCACTGCTGGAAAAGCCTGCATTTCTCTTGACACATCTGCGTCCGAGTTGAAGCTTTATGAAGACCAAATTACTTTGGTGCCACTGTCTAAATCAGATTGTTCTATCAGTATTATTGCTGGTGACTTTAATAGAAAGGATACAACATTCCTGAGGACACT